AAATTGGGCTGCTCTCAGCCAATCACAATGAATTAGTTTTCTCAGTTATATAATAAACTATCCAATGATGCATCTAGAAAATTTAAGGATGCACAAAGTTGGCCAGTGCACAGTGCACAGAATCACAGATGCGCAATGAGACGGTTACTGGCATGTTCAAGTTTGGAGCTAATAACTATGTAAGCTACATGCAAGATTTATGTAAATAATGCTCATCCTTTAACATAGTACGTGACACTTTTATACAGTCAGTTTATGTAGCGCTAGTGGACTAAATGAGAGTATAGCCTCCATGCTGCTCATTCAACCACCCCCTTACTCTATTCTCCCAGTGGCATTTTTGCATAGCAAGCATTTTTTTGCACCAATTTTAGCCTTATTCAACAGTATACGTGTAAGACAGACGTATTGCTGTTCACAAGCTTAAATACAACCTGTCTATATTTCACAGGTACAGACAGAAATAACATGGTGGAAACAGAAAATTCTTTGGACAACTATCCCCTCCCTTGGGAAGTGTCCAAACTTTTCCAGGGTGCCACCGCTGTTTGGACAAGTCTAGAATTAAAAACTCCCAAACCAGAGGACATTGCTGTGAGCTTAGCAAGTGCAGGTACATTGGACACATTAAATTCCACACCTCATGTACATCGAAGGAAAATGCTAATTCTCAGATTTCTCAGTATGTCTGCATGTTTAGCACTCCCAAATGCCAGGTTCAAGATTCTCCAACAATAATTATGATCCCTACTGTATGTCAAGAGACTTTTGAACTTTATTTGACCGCAGTATAGCTTGTTTTACGTTGTGTTTCGTTTTGTTTCTAGAGCCAGTTTCATCATGCCACTATTCTTTCAGTCATGTGCATGCCCCTTAACATTTTGAGACCCAAGATCCCTTTAGCATACATGTGTGAAGTATAACCGGCATGTTTTGAAATGCGTAACTTCTTTTTCCTGTTAGACGTCTCGAGTCCACCAAAAAAAGCCTTTAAAACGATTATTAGCCCTCAGGTTCTTTGCTGAAAGCTTTGACTTCGTAACTGAAAGGTAACTGCAAGCTTAAACTGACGAAATCTTGAAAGAAAACAAAACCGCGAAAGAAGGGGAAAAACTAACAACAACAACAACACGGCCTGTGATAATTTAGTTCAAAAACCTTTAATCTATTCTTTTAAAATCATAAGCTTCAGATCAAAACATCAATCAATTATTTTTCATTTTTGAAGGGTACTACACCTGCCTACGGAAAAGCCAGGAATGTGACGCGAAGTCTGTGGAAACAAAGAAACCACAAATGGATTCTCTACTGAACAATGCACCAGCATCCTTTGGGGGCATTATGCTGCAATTTAGCAACAAAGGGTGTTTTTATTACATGTGCTCGCGAAATAACAACTTTTCAAACCGAAGTCAGAAAGGAGTGCTATGCATCACTTAAATTATTGATTCTGGATATTGCTCTTGATTTAATTGCGGCAAAACCTGACCGATCAACTAGTCTAGTGAGAGAATTTGTGCGATCTTGAAAAAGTTGTGTGTTAATGTAGATTTTTTTCAGAATAATATAAAGATTCGATATAACCAACACTTTGCCATATACGATATGAGCAAACTATAAAACCTTCAAACCAAATTGCAACCTTTTTTTTCGGAAGATGCAATCCCATTGTCAAATGAAATGCACATACATGTGGGAGTGGACCATACAAAGTAACTGGGGGGAGGGGAGAACATTTTCAGCTTCATTTTTGTTGTAACCTTTGAACATTACACGACCGTTTTACCCTTACGAACTCTCTATAATTTAGCGAGCAGTGCTCGCACTGTTTTTCTTTTTCTACTATTTGGAAAATTATCAGGGGAGATATTCCCCCCTACCCTAGTGGTTCTTCCCTTAGATTAAATTAAACTGTAAAATAACGGCAAAAAATTACATAATTTTGTGATGAAAGTGCTGGTCACTTTTTTCATTATGCTTAGATAACATTTTTCAATATTGCAAATTTTATTGCAATTTTTTTTTTGTTGGAATCTTTTTTTTTTATGTACAAACCTAGAAAATAAATACAATTTTTTTGACTCTAAAAATAACAAGGTCACGTTGTTCACAGAAATATAAATTTTCACAATGAATTGATGAAATAAATCACTTTATCAGGTAATATTGTTTGTGTATGTTCATTTTGAAATAATTAGAGTGTGAGCCAATCGGAAAGCTAGAAATGAAATAAACGAGGGTGACAATTGACTTACTAGAAACCACAACTTTAACTCGAGCTTTCTTTTTTTAAAACTCGTATTCATCCGCATTAATAAGTTGTTGCTTTGCGTTTGAATAGAAGTCGTATTGAAGGAGAAGAAGATTGTCATCCTAAAAACGTATTTTGTGAAAGATAACAATACCGCTTAAAGGTTCAAGAGATTTATTGTTCATTGTAATGACTGTTGACTGAAATTCTGAGCTTCAATGTTGTAAATAATTATAAAAAACACTCAGTTGTCGAAAGAGAATAATGAAAATTATCAAGGATACTCCTGGAAAATTATCCAGGATACTCCTGGATAATTTTCATGGGAAAATTATCCAGGTGTTTCCTTTTTTATGGCTCTTTTCGTTCGAGTTTTTCGTTTACAAGTATTCAGTATTCAAATTCCTCTAAGAGTTTCAGTTACGTGTAATATTGAACGTTTGTGTTCATTATTATCTTCCGCTTCAACTTTGAAAATTTAACCTGTTTTAATGCTGTAAGAATGCTACCTGGGGAAATCCGGCCACAGTTTGACTAAATCGTAAGTTCGCTTTCGACATGAAGGTATATAGATTCAGGTTGTCGCTGTATATTTACTAAGTCGCTCTATCAACAAGTTCAACACAATTAACTTGCAGTTTGTACGTAAGACGTGTCTTTATTTTTAGGCACGAAAAGCGTCAGTTTTGCGGTCCTTTTGGTTGGTGTACGGTTTTCGGCCTTTCTCTCTTTAATGTCTACTGTAGTTTCGCACATGAATTCGCAAGTTTTTCTTTGCAAGAGCGCGTATTTCTCTGACAGTTCCGAGTCTTCTCTATGTATGTTACAAGGTGTGTGATTAAACATGGTACTTGGCAAATACGACGTGCGTCTTGTCATGCTTATGTAAGCCCTGAATTTAAAAGGTGGCGGACCGAAATGAATAATTTGGATTTTATTAGGGTACCAGTCCGGCCTGCAAACTCAGATGTATTACTTTTTAGCGCGAACGACGCCTTTCTTAGCGCACGTACAACTGGCATGTCACGACTCGTCTTGTTTTTACACGGCACTTTTTGTGGCCGAGATAAAGTTTAATATAATGGCTAAAACGAAAGCCATTAATACAGTCACCCTCTTATCTCAAAGATGAACGTCCTGAAGTTGGTATCACTAAAAGAAAACTGTTACCGTTATCATAGTTAAAAATTTTGAATGCCATCTCATTTATTTCGCTGATGAAGTCAGATCCCGTGTAGCTAATGCCCATCATTTGTCACAGATTTAATTCATCTTTCCACTCTTGAATGTGTTGATTAGTGTCGGAGGATTTCAAATAAATGGGGAAAGAGAGATTTGATAACGATCTAGGTAACAGGCCGATAGCCGATATAGCTAAAAGGTCTTGCTGTGAGGAAATGAAACGAAAAAAAATTTAGTTAATATCTTATATATTCCTTTCGTTTCAATCTAAAAAGATTGAAGTCAAGCTTGTTACCCAGACTAAGGAGTAAAGAAATATAAATAAAACTGATGCTGCAGGTTTCCCAACATTGCACTGAGCAGATTGAAGGCATGCACGCAAACAGAATACCGTGATTTCACTTTTTATGCATTTCCCAAACACACGACAACGAGTTCACCCCCATAAAACACTTTCAAGAGTTAATGTTTTTTTTCCCTCGCATTCAAAAATGTGAGTTAAGATGACTTCAAACAACTCTGTCGTCTGCATTTACAACTGAGAAAAAAACTTTATCACTGACTGACTTTCTTTTCCTACTCCTAGTTAATCTTGAATTTGTTTCTCCGTCCTTTCTTCCCCTAACTCTCAGTGTTGGTGAATTAAACGAGCTTTGATCTGATTTGGACAAGAGTATTCGGGTTAGGCGAAAATATAACGAAGGACTAGTGGAGTTTTCAAAAACTCTGGAACGTGCGATTTTGCTAAAGGAGAACAGCAAGGATTTGCTGAGCTCTGTTACAAAACTTTGAATTTAAAGTCGAAATCGCAATGTTAATTTGTTGGCATTAAATTGTAATTAAAAAAAAAATATATATATATATATACGGGACCAAGCTCTATCGTACCGCCACTCTGAACATTTTTTCAAGCCCTGAAAGGTTTTGTTTCGTTGTGATGTTAATATAGTGTTACTACAACTTTTACTTTTACTTTACATTGTAAGTACAATGCTCTATGGAAGCTTGTGTTCAAGGCGTTTGTGTAAATAGCGGTTGATTAAACTCAACATCAAGAGAACAATAGAAAATTACTATTTTCATGGAAGACAACTTTTTTTGTTCAGCTGCTCTGTGTTTGGTGTAAATGATGTCATCGCCTTTGATATAGGAAAGTTTCCATTTATTACACCCTTGTTAAAAGTTTAATTGGTCTATTTAACTGTTTAAGTCCCGCCCCTCTGTTACACTGTACGTTTCCCCAGCGACAATATTTCAAAGATTTTTATGTTTGATTTCGCGGTCATCTTCTGAGCTTTGGAAAGATAAGCGGTTGTATAGAGCAACGCCTATATATTTTAAAACATCCGATAACATCGTTTTCTTCTTTATGATCTGCCAAAAGGTAGTGTTTACACGTTTGTGTATCGTTTGTATACACACTACTTTGAAAAGCCGGCAACTGAATAAAGTTACCACTAAAAGATAATGATTAGTGCCAAACAGAAACATGTAACGCTGTTTAACTAACTGCAGATCAGCTAATACAATCTCAGTTGTATCATGGTTGAACAGCTGTAGGTTTCTCAGGACAACGAAATGAAAAGACACTTTTCTTTGTGATGAGAGTGCAAACATGGACTCTAAAAAGCACGTAACACTGTTTAATTTAGCGAAAGGGTCCTGATAAGGGATCTTATAAATAGTAATCCTATTCTGTAGATTTTCATTACATTGCGAAACGGTGCGGCTTGAAGTTGTGAGAACTGGCTGAACGAGCCCAAACCGTAAGTACAAAACGTTAATGTTTCATCGTTGCCTTTTGCCCCTAAAGTTTTATAATAAATTATGTGTTTGAACTATGTTTTTAGGACAAGGGAAAAAATAAGAACAATAATTTACGCTACATCGAACTATGGCTTAGAGTACCTTATTGTATCTTAACGCTTTCAAAAACAGGTTTTTCGTTCGCCCTTTTGGCTTAAAGAATGGTAGCTAGAGGTTTTACCAAGCATTCACCTAATTTCGAACTTAAAATCAAACGCGAAAGCGACTGAGCAAAACTTTCATGTGGTGCTCTTTATAATGCTGTTAAAGGTTATTCTAACTTAATTTTAAGATGAAACCCTCATGAATACATGTACCATTGACCTAAGTACATTTGTATGATACTCTTGGTTCAAGTTTTAGATGAAAGTCAGTTAATGTTTGGCCATTTAAATGAAAGCTGTTGCCAGAGCAGCCTGAGTGCTTTTACGTGGACTGTCCGTTCTTGAGTATTTTGCAAAACGAAATTTCGAGTTTTCTAAAATTTTTCATCGGCTAAGCTTTTCTCTCGGTTACTGTGGATTAGCGATGTATCTCATACAGTGAATATCGTGTCACTAAAATTTACAATCTTTGGGTTGAATAGCCTACATTTTACAAGGAAGTTTTTGACCAAAACGAGTGCCACTCACTTACGAATTAAACTTTCTGTATTTTCAGTGCCGTATTAAAAAAAATCCGCATTATTTTGGATTATTTGATTTTGTGTCTCTTCGACTTCCCTTACAAATTGCAATTCTCTTAAAATCCGGATAAATCAGTGTAATAATCTGTATTGATAAAACCCTGAAAATTTCAGTGTTGACACTTAAACTACTTAACCTTAAAAAGGTTCCCTTTTTTCATTGTGTTCAAAAACTTTTTGAAGGAGTTCCCAGTTAACTAAGCCAAAGGCAATGAAAACGGTCGAATAAACAGTCATTTCAGTGAATTGAAAATTATATTGGAGATCAGTTGAAGGGGGGTTCGTTGAAGCTTCGTAACTCAGATACAACTTTCATGTTCTTAGCTTACCGTAGAACTATATTGAACTATATTGTTTTCTATAATTCAAGCTACGACGATAGAAAAGACAAGTTAAAACACGCCTCTGAATAGAATACTCTCATGGGACATCGAGAATACAAGGAACATGCAAAAATGTTCACTGACGTTGATTTTCTTAGTTATTCTGTTTCCGTGTGACAGTAAAGAAATCGGATATTTACCTCACTGCTCACTGCCGCTGTTTGGTGACAATTCCGGCAGCATTTTATATCACACTTCGTTGAAAAAAACGTCTACTTCTAGTATCACGCAAAATACTATAAAAATTCGTTCGGCCCAACTGAGAGCACTACATTCCAAAGCTGCAACAGTTCTGAGGAGCCATCCCGCCAGTTTAAACTCGCAAGCTGAGCTTACCGTCCTGTTGAGGAGAAAGAAAGACCCAGGTAATAACAATTAAAGGGGCGCTCATGCATTGCAAAAAAATAGGCTAATTTATTACGTGTACTAGAAAATACTGGTCAGAGAAACTTAATTATTACAATAATGTTAAAAATTTAGGTCCTTCAAACTTCAACAGAGGAGACTTTATTTTGACTTGAAGTTTGAGAGAGGCAAGGATGGTTGAAATAGATTGCTAAAGTCTCAGCTTCATCTACAATAGTATCTACAGATGAGCAAATCAAAAAGTTGAGTTGTATTCATGAATTGGTTAATTGGTTGTTCTTTTGTGCTGAAACAGGACATGAGGACCATTTTCGTTTGGGGGTGCCTCTTGGCTGTAATTATCGAGCCTTGTATGTCGGACATGTACATGCATTTTCCACCAGGATCTAACAATCGTTTGAATGGCAACCAAGATAACGTCAAGAACGCAAACAGATTGTTTGATTCTCAGGTAACTCTCATTTCAATTAATGGCACCATGATTCTGCAGTAGACACACCACACCCGATCACAACAGGAAGGGGATAAAATTTGTTTTGTTATCAACTGGCGTTTGTTAAGTTTTAGTTTGCTATTTAGTGCTTATTGGGTACAGTAGCAATTTGATTATAGTACAAAGGTTCTTATAAATCACTCCTTACTTGTTTTAATTTAGAATAACGGCAAAGCTGGATACAATGTTGGAGACAAATTGGACTCTAATCCTGGAGACAATATTCAAGAATTCAGGCAGCAACCATTGGTAAATAACCTATAGAACGTCAAAGGGTGTTAATGAAGAAGCGTGGGGTCGGTATTGGGGAAATACTGGTCGAGTTATTTATTTCATTTTATTTTTTTCATTTTTGGACCTCGCCTGCGACTCGGCCATAAATTTGCCAAAAAAAAAAGAAAAAAAATGAACGAGACCAATATTCCCCATACGGACCGAACAACCTAGCTCAATAAAGTATTTATTACTAAGGCTCCTTTACACCTTTTGCTGTTCATTTACAGAAAATATCCATTCATTTGTGTTCAAGTTTGTTTCATTATGGTTAATATACTCTCATTAACACCAATATGACATTCATTTGCGCGTAAGGAACGTTCAAGAATAACATTTGCATATGTATTAACAT